CTAAACCTCTAAACCTCTAAACCATTGTGTGGTAACTTTTCATAACCCTCTAAACTTTTTCCATGGACATTCCAGCATCTTTTTATCATAAAATTTCACTAGAAAACAATTGGAATATTTGCAATAGCTTTGCTGGCCTTCAATACTTGGCTACATGAAGTTTTATATACAACTTTGGAAACAGCACATACATGGAATTCTAGAATATAATTTAGAATTCAACCAACCATATTATTAGATGGTAGATAGATGTAATTCTGATCTGTAGGGTCAAGTTCAAGCCTATGGAAAATGGGTGTTTCTTCCTTAATTTCATATAAAATTTCTGGACAATTTGGCTTCAGTTCGTCATCAAGAACAATCTATAAAAACATGATATATTTAATGAACATAAACTTGCAAACAGTTTAGAATAGAGTTGTCTTGTACTCTTTTGCCACCTATTTATCATCACAACTTCTTTTCCCATGTGGTGTTAAACAACTGTTGTGAGAAAAGATTAAGGCTGGTTTTTACCTTGCTAAAATTATTTAATAAAAAGATGATAGATGATAGATAGATAGATAGATAGATAGATAGATATTAAGACTGAAAAGCGTGTGAATAGTTGTTGCTATAGTAAAAACATACTATGCTATCTTCCAATATTGTGCAAAATCATTATGTAACTTCAGTTATAGTGGCTTACTGTATGAGCCCAGCCTAGTCAGTTTTAATCTGTGGTTTATAAACTGTAGCACATGTAAGTTCTATATCTTGTTCAAAATACCATGGTTAAATCAAATAAATATATTATTAAATCAAATGTACTGTAGCAAAAAAATCTATTTTTTAAAAGCAGTTTTTTTTTCAAATGCAAAATCTTTTCTATTTGATTTATAGAAAGTGGAAGCTCTAAATATGCAAATAGTGCAAACATGAAAACGCATGCACCAACCTGTTTTACTCCAACACACCCAAAAAAGGTAAATGGCATGTGCAGATTATTTGTGAGTTCTTAAAAAACTAAGTATACTGATTATTTATATTAATGCTATTAATTTTTTTGAATTAAAAACATATTGAAGAAAAATAGATCCAAATATGAACACAGTTTTCTGCAATTTTACATAAACCTAATGTATGGACATAATGATTCATGGCATAACCTACCTTCAATAGCTGCCCATTTCCTGTCCCTAAAAATAAAACAGCCTTGTTTAGAACCACAGTGGCATAAACTGAAACCAAATTAAAATGACTCAGAGAAGTTGAGTTCTTGATTGGCCACGTAACATTTATCTGAAACAGAATGAACAAAGAAACAAAACTTTAGAATATGTCATTAAATCAGTGATGAAATTCATTTTTTTTAACTACTGGTTCTGTGAGCGTGGCTTGGTGGGCGTGGCAGGGGAAGGATACTGCAAAATATCCATTCTCAGCCCACTCTGGGGCCAGCCAGAGGTGACATTTGCTGGTTCTCCGAACTACTCAAAATTTCTGCTACCAATTCTCCAGAACCTGTCAGAACCTGCTGGCTTTCACCCCTGTATTAAATCATAACTGAAAGAAGAAATATTCAGTAGCTATCATTATCTATAGGAAAATTAGTTGCCACATTATAGATTTTAGGTGGTATTTTATCTCAAGTAGACTTAACACAATATTATTACATTTTTCATCCGGATTAATATAATATATATTTAATATACTTTTTTTTAAAAAATCATCATAATTAGATCAGAGAAAAATCTGAAACACTGCAGCAAGCATGTCCTTAGAAGCATCTTTTCTTAATTAATGAAGCCTAGCTAGTTTGTTGCTAGCTACCTGAATCCAAAAAATACAGGAAGAAGTAGACCACATACAGACCCAGTTTGGTCTAGTGGTTAAGGCCCCAGGCAAGAAAGCAGGGGATCCTGAGTTCAAGTCCTTCCTTAGCCATGAAAGTCAATTGTGTGAGTGTGGGCCAGTCACTCTCTCTCTCAGCCCACAGGTTCATTGTTGTGGGGAAAATAGGAAGAGGGATGAGTATTAAATCTAATAGAATACAGACTGAAACATAAAAAACAGAAAGTGTGAAGATCTGGTTCACAGAAATGTAAATATGTGTGAATTCCTTGCTGTCAATAATTTATTCTGTTCTGAAAGAATATATTGTGTGATGTGTAATAGTGAAGTGGGGCATTCTGGGCACTGGAACCCCAAAATATCTGGAGGGCGCTAAGTAGAACAAGGTTATACTACCCATTATGGATTTTGTATTCAGAGGTGGATTTTGTATTCAGAGGTGTTCATGGTAGTTAGCACTCACACCTGTCTTAGAAGAATGAAATATTTTGAGAAATATTAAAAAGGTAGAATATTATATTTCCCTGGATGAGAAATGGAGAAGCATGTTTTTTTAGAGGCAGGAATCAGACTCATTCTTAATAGCCACCAACTTTCTTAATAGCCCTCAGCAGATATCAGCACTTAAGAGATAAAGAGACAGATAGCTTTATTCCCTGCAGCAAATTCCCTGCAGCAAGGTCTGAACACAGGTAGTGTTAGCCCTCAGCCTCAATAAAAATCGTCCAACACGTCCCTTCATTGCATCAGCAGACCAAACTTCAACCATCTTTCCAATCAGCCACCATGTTTTCAGCATCTTTCTCCCGGCTTGGAAGTGAACCAGATGAATTTTTCTTCCAATTACACGTAATGTAGTTATGTGGTTGGATATCATTTAATGTATCATTAATACCAAAAAATGTGTGGCATTTTTAGATGGTGAAAGTACTCATAATGTGTTAGACTCCCACTGCTCTTTCTCATAATACATTAAGTAGAGAAAATAAATAAACACAGATAATCCAACAATGTATATAGTATGTTACATAAAGAATTATAGGTAAATGGAAACCATTCAGTGGTATACATTTATGTATGGGTCACCTTTTTAAAATGTCCTTTTTCTAATGATGCAACTACAGGGCGGGGCATAACCTTTTCCTAGGGGGTCACAGCAAGATCGACAGCAGTTTACAACTTCCGCGACACCTCATTTTANAAAGAAAAAAAAGGAAAAAGGAAAAAGGCAAGAGCTGAGGTCAGGCTGAGCTAGTTGCTGCCAGAGTCACCGTGTGGATGACTCTGCTTAACTGTTTAAAAAAGCCTCTAAAAAAACTCCCTCTATAGGAGGCAGGAGAACGATGTGCCTCATCTACGTCATGAATTTTTCGGCTTTTAATCCTTGCTTAGCTCTGCTTGAGTGATTATAAAGTCAGACTAGATGAGGCACCTCATTCTCCTGCCTCCTCCTGTAGAAGGCACTTTTTAGAGGCTTTTTTAAACAGTTAAACACTAAGCAGAGTCATCAATGGTGACTCTGGCAGCAACTAGCTCAGCCTGACCTCAGCTCTTGCCTTTTTCCTTTTACATTTTCTTTTTTTTTCATGATGACAGTGGTGAGGCTCTGCTTCCCCTGCCTTCCCTGACTGCACGTCCCTAGTCTTAGGTGACCCCTGTGAAATGGTCGTTCAACCCCCAAAGGGGTCCCGACCCACAGGTTGAGAACCACTGATGTAGATAATGACCAAAGATTATCAGGGACTGGAAAATCATACTCTAAACTAATAAGGAGCAGAAAAATTCCCCTATTCTCCTGCTTTTTTGAAACAGAGTAGCAGAACTCCACATTGTCTTTTGTTCTAGTTGGAGTTCTTTCCCAGGGCTGACTGAATGCCACTTAAGAGCCAAACTCCAATCCATTTAGCTGAGAATTGGCATTCAAGGAATTACATGGTATTATAGCTATCTAGCTATCCAAGAGGCTGTATGTTGTATAAATGTACTTTTATTTCACATACTAAATTGTGCTATTGGGATTTTGTTCTATTTGATCTCTGTGTCTACTGGGGGGAGGGTTGTGCAAGAAAAAATATTTTCAATCATTCTGTTTTCTTTAAACCTATTAGTTTCTTAAGCTCAATATACATAATAAAGGATCTGCCTTTTTTATGAAATCAGAGCTTTCATCTTGACAAGTAATTTCTCGCATATTCCAGCTATTCAGAGAAGGTAAGAGATTTGCCATTTTTCACATATGATGTACAAGTGGTTATGGGTGGAAGATCTAAAATAGTTTTCTCAATTTTAGCAGCTTGAAGAATACTTCAGCTCCAGAATACTGGATGGGGAATTCTGGAATTTGAAGTTCACATATCTTCAAAAGGTTGTGAAACACTAATCTAAAAGAATTCTGTGGGAGCCAGGAGTCACATCCACAATATGCATGCCCATACTATTATACCTAGAAATTTATTCATTTTTTGTTTATTAGATTTTTATCCCATCTATATTACTTTATAAGTAATGCAAGTCAGTAAACATAGATAATGCTCCTTTCTTTTCCTGTTTTCCCCACAACAACAGTGCCTTTTTTCCTTTGTCATCTAATATATGGGTAGTAGTGTATTGTTTTGGATACATATTGTAACTATATCATTTAAACAGCTTAATTTGTTACTTAAAACTATGCTGTTTTAATTGCTATGAACTTTTTTATTGGTTTTCATGAAAATGGTGTTACAGTAGTTTACAAGTAGTATTAGCATTATATACAAAGTCTAAAATATCTAAAAACCCAGGCTCCAATTTTGTTTTGACTCCCAAAATAAGCACTTGGCCTTATTTTCAGGGAGGTCTTATTATTTTTGAGGTGCAGGAGGCAGCGAGCATGGTCACTTCATGGCTACTGCTGTGTTGAAATATTTGGGGGGAGGGCTTATTTTAGCACATGCGCTCAAAGGTCTGACTGGGCTTATTATCCAGGGAGGTCTTATTTTCAGGGAAACAGGGTAGAAGAAAATATCTGAATCTCAGTATTCAACTATGGAGTCCTTGCTACTCTGAGCTTGACTATTGTTACTTAGTTGGATAATGAAACTCTGCAAGAAAACAACCTAGCACCAAGAATTCCGAAGAACTGGGCTTCTTGAAACAATTTCTAGGATTATCTTTGTTTCCTTCTTCCCTATCATCTATAGGGGAGATCCTGTTCTATTTGTTCAATCTTGCAGATTAACAAAGAGGCATCTTTCTCCATAATAGCCACTGTCCTATGAAATAATCTTTCATGAGCATGCCAGATCTCCAAACTGATAATTTTAATGTAATTTTTAATGTATTAATGGTGGTTTTTCTCAAGTCATTGGAGTTTTCCTAAACATTTGACTTTTTTTTCTTTTAAATGACTGTTTTATGATTTTTTCTAATAAGTAGCTGATATACATATATCAACTTTCTGTATAAAGAATATATAGAAGAAATAAATTTCTGGACATAGAGCAACTAATTATACATTTATTTTTACCTTGATCTTTTACATCTGCTATACATGCTGAAGCTAATAGATTTGTTTTCAGTCTTCTACACCTTTTTCGTTTACTAAAAAGATTTGATTAATATTTATTAAAATTGCTCTAACTGTGTCACCACAAGAGTGGCCTGTATTCAGCAGATCAGATTTTATTTTTGCAGAATGCTGACTACTTAAAGCAACTTCCTTAAACTTGCATTCACAGGGTATGGTTATGTGAAGGCAAAACGGATTTTTAATTTTTTTTCAGTTTTATCAACCACATCTTCTTCTATTTCCATGCAGCATCCACCCAACCACATCCCTCTGTAACAAGGATTTCAGAAATTGTCTGCCAAAGCGGTCCCATTTTCTTTTAAACAAACTTGTTCAAATTCAGCATATATACAGCAAATATTTCTAGAGAAGGTTATAAAGAATAAGGACAAAATAATTATTATAATTTCTCCAGATACCCAAGACTACTGTCATCCTCCAAATATATTGGAATAGTAAGTATCTCTAGGAAATTCTAGAAAAATATCGTCTCACTTCTAATATACTTGAATTACAAGAAAATACTTTCTGGAGAAGCAAAGCCTCCTCAGTTCCATCTCTAGGACATCACTTCTTTTTATGCTATTTATCTCAGCAAAGTGATAATTATTCTTGGTTGAGCCATTGAAATGCATTTCTTATACAGTCATTTTTTTTCTAGCATGGTTTCCGTTTTCATAGAGCATATTTACAAAATCAGTATAATATCTCCACTACTACCTAAATGAGTTAAAGCATTCCCATATTTTTTTTTTCTTGGGTTGGGCCCCATCTTTATTATTTTTACAAATAACTCAAGATGTCAAACATATCTAATACACTTTCCTTATCCTATTTTCCCTACAACAACCCTATGAAGTGAGTTGGGCTGAGAGAAAGAGAGTGAGTGACTGGTCCAAAG